CTAGATTTTGGTTTATGTATTCCTTTATAGCCAATGTGACTATTGTATATATTATTTTGGACTATGGATATAACATGTAAATATTAGTTATAGTAATGTGAAACATATTTTTTCATTGTTTATATTCATGTAATGCCATTAATTAGCTCTAGATATTAAATTGATCTAGTTGTAAATGATTAATCATTAATTGTTAAATGAAAAGAAAATAAAGAGGAAAAAAAGAAGAAATTCTTCCACTATAGATCCCAGGACGTGACATTTATTTCTAATGAAAAAGGCTTAGCATTTCACCTCTTTGGAATAATCATCATTACCCATAGACAATTTTTTACCCACTTAATGCTTTTCATGTAAACTCTTCCTTTGACACTCTAAATATTAACTTTCTTCCTCTTAATTAAAAATAATAATTTCTTCTCACAGTGCTTATTAATGCTCTTTATGTTGCTTGTTGACCTGCACATTAAAGGTGAGAATAATAAAGAAAAGGCTACCTAGCAAAATGAGGAGATAATTATCCAAAGAGTATAAAGTATAAAAGGAAGGAAATTAATATTTTCCATGCAAGGGAAGGCACACTCTCAACAAAAGAGTGAGAAACTTAGATAAAGGGCAATAACAACAACATCAAGCCTTTATCCCACTATGTGGGGTCGGCTACATGAATTTTTTTTCTCCGTTATATCTTGTTAAGAGTTAAATTCTTATTTAAATATAATAAAAATGTCATTTCTAATATTTTCTAACCAAGTCTTTTTAGGTCTACCTTTATCTTTCTTAACATAAGTCAGATATAATAAATCTACTTTCCTAATTGGGTCATCAAAAGGCACCATTTTATGTGGCCAACCTATCTAAGACGACTCACTCTGATCTTATCTTCCACTTGAACTACTCTAACATTTTTACGTATATGCTCATTTTGTATCCTATCACTACGACTAAAGCAACTCACCCACCTAAGCATCCTCATCTATGCAACACTTAATTTTATGGTTCTCTTTTAATGGCCATCATTCTTCACCATATAGCATTGCAGATCTAACCATCAACTTATAAAATTTTTCCTTAAGTTTGAGGGGGCTTTTCTATCACACAACAGGCCTGATGCATTCCTCCACTTTGACCATCCAACTTGAATTTTACTTAAAATATCCCCATATATTTCACCATCACTCTGAACAATAGACCCAAGATATTGAAAATGTGTACTCTTATTAATAAAGAACCTTAGATAAAGGGAAATTAAGAGAAATAATCAAACAAAATTCTTAAGACGAGCTGAACCATAAAAAATAGATAATTTGTCTTTTTATGCAAACAAAATCCCATTCCAAATAAAGTAGGATCAGAACTTCGTCTTTATTGTTGTGACCAAGCTCATTCTACTTAAAAGAAGGCTCAAGTTCACCAAGCGCAATCCACTTGACACATACTTAGGAAGACCCTAAACAAAGAACTCACTTAAACTAAAAATATATTCTTTAATCATAATCCTCATGTAATTTATATATAGCTCTTGATGAATCGTGACAAAATTTTCTCCATCATTGCATCGTACTCATGCGTTGATGTTTAAACCAATATAAATTTTATCTTAATTGCATGTAGTAATTTGATCTTCATATTGTGTCATATATTAATATTTTCTTACACATAAATTTATACATTTATCACAATTAATTATGAAGTAAGTTGTGTCTCAAATAACTTTTTTCAGCCCCACATTGAAATAAGTTGCCTATCTTGGCCTAGTTGGATCAACTCCTATTATAAGTTCAAGGCTAATTAGTAGATGCGTGTGAGTTCATGAGTTTGTGATTTAATTAACTAAAAATGCTTCTTGTTGAATTTGAATGTTTATGCATGTCTTTCATGTGCCCCTCTAAAATAATGAGTAAAGGAGTAGAAATTTTTCTTCACATACTCTATTTTTTTAATGCTGTAAAAAATTCAATTTATATCTTAACATTTCATACCATTTTTCATAAAAATATTTTTGAGATATAGTTCTACTTCGCTTGATAGCCATTTGAGGTAGAGAAACACATCTTTAACCTCTTTAAACGAGGCCTATTTTTGAGATATAGTTCCACTTCTAAAAGATTAAATAATACCAACAACCAATATGTAATGATATAGAAAAATTAATTACATTTGTACCTGCCAATTGGTTGAAGAATGAGATCAAAATATAAATTTTAATGGTATATCAAATAACTCAATTTTATTCCAAAAAAAAAAAAAAAACTTTTTGATGGATTATGTGAGTATGTTATCTTTTCATGGAAGACATAATCACAATATGCAATTAATTGTTAGTAAATTGCAAATAACATTAAGTAAATGATGGCTTAATCAGATAAAAATCATTTGAAGGTTGTTTTTGTGTACTATGATCATCCAACATGTCAATATCAATAGAGACTACATGCATCCAATACTAAGATTCTTGGTGGAGCTTAGAGAATTTCTTATATAATTGCTAATGATGCTTATGCACTTCTCATCATGTTAAGTGGATATTATCTTTATAACTTCAAAATTTTCATATTACTTCATCCTTCGTTAGTATTTCATAGCAAATATATTTAAAATCAAAATAATTCATAGATAGGATATAAGTTAAGTTTAATGCAAGGATTCATTGATGAAAGCTTGGTATGCTAAGCAGAAGGTGATAAGGACTATATTCAACAATTAGGAGAAATACAATTATTTATATACATGGATTTGTAGGCAATTGACCCCCATAAAAGTTTTAAAATACTATGGTATTTTGGGCAATTGACCAACATAATTAAACGATGAATCAAATACAAAGAGAAATAGTAAGAAGCTTTAAAAATATCCCTACAACTAAAATTTGTTCCGTGGGCGCTTCCCCCGGAAAACCCCGCAGGGGCGCTGCCCCATGACCCCGCGACCTGACCGAGCAGGTCAAACCCTACCAGGGGGCGCTGCCCCCTTGGACCCCCCCAACATATATGCGAAACATACAATGATTAAGGATATGAACAAATAGGGGTCGAGCCGACTTCAAGGCAAAAAAAAAATCTCTACACTTTTTGTAAATTAAGGTTGGATCCGCCCCTGTTTATATAGGTTCATGAATGTTATGTAAGTTGTATGGGAGAATACAATCCAACGTCACAAGTCATTTCGAATGATTTTTTTCGACATTTTAAACATAGATCAAATAGTGGACATTTGGCAAACCTATTTTGAGTTTGCATGTAACATTCTTATATGGTAAATATTAGGAAGTGTTGCTCACTATAATAGATATTGATGTAAATAGTGATATATTCACACTAGCTTTTACAATTGTGGAGGGTGAAGGTAATGAGTTTTGATTCTGGTTCCTTGAAAACTTGTATAAGTTATATACTATGGTTGCTTGTCGATCGAGCAGATCTTTACATAATTTTTGATAGTCATGCAGGGTTCGTGCATCAACATAAGGAGATATTTTCTTATGATGCACATAGAAACTACTTGAGGAAGTGAGAAGAACTGAAAGCAAGATTTGATGTGTATGCTTGTTGACTAAGTTGAACTCTTATTCAAGAAGATGTTTTAGACTAGTAATACTGATGATATATGTCTTTTAATACAAATACAACAGTTGTAAAGAATGTTACACAAGAAGAATATAATTGGTTGATCGAGAGAGATCTATACAAGTTAAGACTTCGTTTGATTATTTTTTATAATTTCTAAAATGTAGTTTTAAAACTGTTGTTTGAGATAACATAGTTTTTTAACGAAGAAGTTAATATCAGAAAGCTTTTGAAAACAATACAAAATACAGTTATCTAAAAAACATTTCTACAACACTGGCACATACAAACAACAGCCAAAAAAATTTTCTGTCATTTCAAAACTGAAAAGATAAAATTAAGTCGTCTCAAACGAGACCTAAGTTTAATGCTTGATGGTAGTTGTTTATATGAGACAATGGTAATTGCCGCCTTATAAGAATAGTTTAATAATGTCTTTGATGTGGTCGAAGACTCCCAATTCAAACATTTTTATGTTCTATCTATTATAATATTGTAGCATTATTTGCAAGTCGTTCTACTATGGCTATATGTGTAGAAATTGCCAATAAATCACACGTGGTCAGTAGGCCCAAGATTACATTGCAATAGTATAAACGATTAATAGGACGATTCACACAGCTCATCTTGGCCTGTTGGTTAAGAGTTTATGTTTCAACTAAGAGGTCCTGGGTTCGAGTCTTTGTGTATGCGTGGTGTGTGTGAATTTGCCTTAATTGGCCTAAATGTTCAAAAAAAAAAAAAAAAGGACGATTCCTTCAAGCTACTTGCATTACCTATTTTGCAATCATTAAAATATTATTATTCTTTTAATAAATTTCATAATATTTTGCAATCATTAAAAAAAATTGTATAATTCAAGCTAAAAATTATATAAAAAAATTAAATAATTATTGGCTCATAAATAATTATTAAAAATAAATTAATGACTCATTACTAAATAACTACTCATTAAAAATTATAAT